GACTTGGAATCACTGCGGCGCCGCTCCCACCGCACCACAACGGTAAGACCGGAGTCGGTGTGAGCCGGGGGTAAACCTAGATGACTCCTTCCTCCTAGGAGAGCCTACTACGGTTCCTCTAAGATTAATAGCTGACACTGGACTTCTAAGTAACTTGTCTAAGGGTAGAACTGACTTGGTGAGCATTGAATATCAACTGTACAGTTATTATGAGATATTCTAAACATTCATCAATCAGAAAAAAGGGACAACTTTATAGATAACATCTTCATATCTTGCAATTTGATCTTTAAGCTTTTCCACGCCTCAAGCTGCATTCACACCCAAAGCTTTGCCTAAACACAGAAATGTCAACGCTCGTCGCCTTGCTTTTCAGTTTCGCCTCTGGCTGCTCGGCGCTCTGGTTGTTTATCTGCTCTGTTCTGTAGCTTCAAGTTATTGAGCAGTTCGGCTTTATTTACTTTATGCATTGGAAAACTAGTTCTAACAGGTTTTTAAGTAAGAAACTCTGCCTCCAAACATCTTCTGTTCATCAGTTAATCTGGATTATCATCCCACTAAAACCTGCAGGTGTTGTTGGGAGCGCCACACTGGTAAAAAACTTAATCTAGATAAGTATTTTTTTCTTGAATTAAGGAGGTAAGTGAGACACTTTGCCAATGGAAGAAGACAATTTACATTTAAAATAAGAAAAAAAAATGTCTTAGTCTTATTTCAAGTGCATATTATTTAATTATCTTATTTCATGAGTAAAAAGACTCATGGCATTGGCAGATCATCTTATTTACCTACTCAGATTAAGGATAAATACACTTAATAAAACAAAAAATGGCTTGTTTCTAGATTGTTTTTGCAGTGCAGACCTCCCAGCTGAAAGCTCTCTGCTCTAACCAGCCTGTAGGGATTTCCTGCTGCCATTCATAGCTACTGGAAGTGAATAGAAAGAGTTTTTAGGAATTCTGGTAAAAACTGCAAGAACCTAGCCTAGTAAACTAGCCCCACCCACCAGCGACCAAAATCATTTTAACCTGCGAGTGGATTAGCCTTGATCAATGGCCCAGACCCTAGAACTGACGGGCCAATCACGCTGGAGAAAGCACAACAAGGACTAGATTACACATTTAATCTCACATTTAGTCTGGTTTATCAGGCTAGAACCAGAATATACAATCCGATATTATTCATCAGCAGGTTTTAACATTTCTAGTTAACTTAGGTATTTATAAGCCGTTTCTCCATAGTTCATAAAAAATGTTTTAGTGGCGCAATAATGATCAGAGCTGCTCTCTGTTCCGTCTACATAGTGATCCATTCTACCAGTCATGATTCTGTCCTTTCTGGACTTTTTGGTTCTGTTTAAGTTTTCAGTTACACTTTGATTTATGTCTTTCTCTGTTTTCTAGGTCATTGGTTTCTCTTCAATTTTGTGTCATTCTTGCTGTTATGTTTAAGCAGTGTTGTATTTTTTCTCGCCCCCTTTTGCCAGTCTCCTTTCCCCTGGCTCCCTTCTAGATACTTCTATCCACAGCTGATTCCTACCAGCGATGAGCCCATCCTATGTCTGTCTCCCCTACCCCTAACCTCCTTTGCAGTTCCCCATGGCTGAATTCTATTCATTACTTTATTCCTAATGTTAGTTTCGCTGAACATCTCCTAGTTTTTTATTCCTGAGTCCCTCTCGATGCCTTCCTCCATAGACTTTGGATGCTTTCATGCTGAAAACGAAGCCGGTCTAAACGCACCATTACTTAATAGTTTAGCTTTATGTTTTTTATGATTGATTATAATTTCTATCTGTATTTGTGGAGATTAAATACTGAGTATAATTTACAACAAAGTGTACAACTCCTTATGTTAAAAGATTAAAGCCTTTTTCTTTAGAATTTGGTAATTCAAATTTATTATACAGACAGAATAAATGTCCGCATTGTTGGAAAGCAATGTTGTTGGTCTTCCCTTAATTTGTCAGGAAGAAGGGTTCTGCAGCATGTTTGCAAGGTCTGGGTTTTGCTTTTGTTTAAATAAATCCTCACCTGACTTATCACACGTCATCTCAAGTATTTCGTGGTGGTGTGTGTGTGTGTGGGGGGGGGATCTTAACATTCAACAGAGGTAGGCCTAACAACAGTCTGCAAAAAGGGTTCACCTTCTGTTCCATAGTGGAAAAGGCAAAATTTAGAGATATTTAGAGGTTCTTTCCTTTCTAAATTTTTTAATCTAAAGTGAAAACATATTATTCATAAGAGAATCACTTTCAGCAGAGCTGCAATGTTCCAGAGAGTGAATTCCCCGCAAGGTCAGGCTGTGCAATACCCAGATAAACTGCTGAAAGCTGCAGGAGCCCAGATAAGACTCCACAATTTAGTTAGCCAGTTAATGACTGGACACTTAGAAAGAGGGTGACCAATTATGCTAAACGTTTTGCTGACAAAAAGCCTTTCTCTCCTAAAACAGCAGCACAGATTAGCTCTGAAAATGTTACATACCACCAAATCACCTCCTCCAGGTGTCTTTCAAACATACCTGAGCAAAGCAGAGATGTTTGGTCAATATGTGACAAAACATGACGGCAAAAATACTTCCTGTTTAGGCCTAATGTCTGGAGACAAGTATCAGTGTTAAACTGAAGCATCGCTGATGCTGGGAAATGAAGAAGAGCAGAAGATATCTGCCAGAAAAAAAGTCAATTAAGTTTAAACATCTGATGGAAATTCTGCAGCATTTGTTCAAACACTGAGGGATCCAATCGTATTGCAGTAAAGCAACACTGCAAAAAAATGAAATATAAGTCAGTCGGTTTTCCTTAACATCAGTGTATTTTCCTTTGATGTGAGCAGATGAGCAGAGCTTGGTAAAGCAGCACTACTTTAGCATTTTATACTTTATAAAAGATAAAGTAAAGTATCTGGTGCCTATAAGAAACGAACTGGTGCAAACAAGGAACGAACTAAAAAACTAATTAGTGCGCACGAGAAACTAAGTGGTGCGCACGAGAAACTAAGTGGTGCGCACGAGAAACTAACTGGTGCGCACGAGAAACTAACTGGTGCGCACGAGAAACTAACTGGTGAACACTAGAAACTAACTGGTGCGCACG